ATCCAAAAAATGTCAAGAAGCACACCGAAAAGAAAGTGCAATGATCTGCTAAATTCCCCTGGAGTTCTGCATTCACTCTCAACTAAAGGAGGACAAGAAGAGGTACTTAAACTGGCCATCTGCTTTTTAAAACCTTCAGATTTCTCCCTGAGATGTGGCAGGAGAGAGGGGGCAGGTGAGGTGTGGGAAAGAGTATATACTGAAAAGCAGCAGGGGTCCTTCTGTCCTGATGGGCAGGAGTCACCAGTGCATGATGCCAGCCACAAATGCTGACAGCATTAGCCAGCACGGAGAGCAATCCATGCAATCATTTCCCTTTGCTTGGCACTCATTACACTGCAGACATGTTTGGGCCCTGCAACACAAGAAACACTCTGACAAATGAGAGCAAGTCCCATTCAAAGCCTACTGAAATGGACGACGGGCTGAAGCACTTCCCTGTGAGAAGTGGCTGAGTAAGCCAGGCCTGCTTGGACCTAAGGCTTCGAGGGAGAAGCTACCAGCACACCCCAGTTCACCAGGAAAACAGCCCAGCAGGGAGCAGCTTGCACAGAGAGGCTGAGCAGTATCCATCCTTGGAGGTGTTAAAGATGCATTGGGAAAAGACCTGAGCAACTCAATCTGAATTCCACACAGTCACTGCTTTCAGGGGAAGGCTACGTTTGTGGACATCCCAAGGTCCCTTTTAACCTGAGTGAATCTGATTTGTGTTTGCTGTCTCCATTATTGTGATACCACTGACTAGCAATAATAGGTGTCAGTTTTGTAGGAACATGGTCATGCTCTGTTCCTTTCTGCTGACCTCTACTACCATTTCTATTCTAAGTAGTCTCTGAACTCTCAAGTGAAAGTGACTCTATTTATATTCATCTCATAAAATGTTTAAAGCATCAGAAAAAAACCTGCCTACAATATGAAACACAGATCTGAGGTGTAAAAGGAATACCAATGCTCTTCTTTTTCTGAGCAGCAGGTGGGCACAAGTCTTATTTCCATTAAGATGTTAAAGCCATAAGCTTGAATGTGCTTTTTTTATCACTTTGATAAGAGTTTTCATGAAGATATTTACAGGTAAAAGCCATATTCAGATTTGGTTTGTGAAAGCAAGGAAGCCAAGTGAAGCAAAATGAAACATCTGATCACTCTGATATTTAGTAACTGTTTGGTAAAGTCTTTAATAGGATCTTGAAACTATTAATTTCACTGATTTTTTGGGGGGAAAAACATCTTCCCAAATAAGCAGGAAGACAAAAAAATTTACACTAGAAAGTAATTATTAGGCTTCACACAACAGAGTACACAGACACCTCCTCCCTGTCATGAAGCTCCACCATCTGTTTTCTTGTGTTTTCCATCCCCAAATCAGAAGATAAATTCTGTTCACTTTACAGCAAAAGTTTCTGAAATCAGCTTTTAAGAAGCAAGGAATTTTAATAGAAAATTAGTATCTGTGAGAAAAAGCTTCAATTAGTAAGTATCTCCTATTGATTTGTATTGTGGCATAGACATACCTTGGAAACAATCTTGAAATCCATGCCACCTCAGTACTGATAACTTCTCATAAAAATCAAAGGAAAATTGAAACTTCTGACAGTAACACACAGTATGACTGAATGGATTCCAGACTTACTAAAATACTGGTGTGGAATAAAATGGTGGTCATCTATTTTACAAAACCTCCAAGATTAATTGTTGACCCTGAAAACATAAGGAGAAGACAAGACATCGAGGCTTGTGGTAACATGACACCTAGTGTTCACTTTCAGGAAGCTTCAGTGTAGGTGGGTGCCAAATGCTGAAGAAACATCAATGCCCCAGGACCTCTTTCCAAAAAAAAAAAAAAAGATAGATATTTATACTAGCATCTCTAAGCAAGTGCCTAAATCACACAGACACAGGGAAAACCGAGAGGGGGAAAGGAAAATCTGCCTGTGCTGCACTGCCCTTCTTATTCAGTACACAATTTGGGTAACTGCAGAGAAGAGTGCTATCCAAACAAGTTTCTTGTTGCTGGCTTTTTTTCTTTGGGTTTCTGCTGAAAAAAGAAACAGTCTACCTATTGATCTTTTTCTGATTGTGTATGGAAGCTAATAGAAAACTGGATTTACAACACATAATAAGCACAAGTTTAAAATAATAGTCCCTATTTAAAAAAAATAAACAAAAAAACCCCACAAAAAAGTCTATTTCTACATAGCAATGAATTGTACATTGCACATAAAATTGTTGTGCATTGTACTGTACATAAAATCGTGGTGTATCAACAGTACAAGAGCCTCTTACGTTACCATTCCCTTCCAAGTTTCTAGCAACACAATGAAAACCACAGTAACTAATGCAGACGAGACCAATGAGACCATAAAATCCATGTAAGAACATGGCACAAGCACTCTAACATAGTAACAATTACTAAGAGATATGACCCCTTGAGTATTTCCAAGGGCAAAGGGTGGAAATGATTATATGAAAAATTAGAAAAAGTTCACTACAGATAGAGGAAACATATACTGATTTTTGAAATCAGATTAATAAGAATCCATATGTGATACTGAATGAAACAGGTGTTTCATGACACTGAGACTGGCAAAACATTAAAGACAAAGTCTGACTGAAACTTCAGTTCTACAGAACTGAACATAAACAACTGCACTTCAAGAAGTTTATAGATACATTGATATAGATACATATCAATACATGCATGCAAAACAAATTAGTATTGTATTCCAAATCTAGAATTGTCTTTAATTTGAAAGTATGCTGAGTTGTTTTCCAGGGGGTAGTATTTAACTGCTATCCTTCTGAAGAGAAAAAAACCTAAAAAGACAACCCATCTATCTTTTAGTATTAATATTGTCTAGCTACCAGAATCCCAAACAGTTTAATTGACTCAGCAAGCAACATTTAGTAAACACTAACTACTATTATATCTTGTTTCTGAGAAAAATGTGCACACAGTCAATACACAGACATTAAAATACACATTTTTCTTTTAACAAGGTAAACAGGTCTAGATTCCAATACTGCTAAATAACTTAAGAAGATGCAAGTCAAGCACTTGTCACACTGTGAATTATAAATCAAGTTTTTATTTTTCAATACATTTTGAGCATAATTTTCTTCAGAAGTTTAGTATGTGGCATATCTGGGGAGCCAAGCAATTATGAACTCACCTAAATAAATAACTGCTGTATCATGTCCCTGTTGAACTTGAGTCTAAATTGCTTTTTTTACTTACACTATTAATTGCTTTTTTCAATCACATACCTCTATCAGAAATAGCCAGGAAAGTGAGGCTAAATTTGTCTGTTTGTTGGAAACAGGCAGCTTGCCAAAGCCTTAGATTCATAGCACACTTTCTCATTTAGTGTCAAGGTAAATTGTGTAGTCACAAGCCTTTAGTTCCTATAGCTCTTGTCCAAGAGGTCAGTTCACCATTCATGAAGTGCCTTTGCAGGCACAAGTTTGCTCCCAGGCAGAAATCCCATGAGTAGCAGCAGAAATGGCATGTCCTATTGGTCTTAAACATACACATTTGGCACAACTACAAGAATACCAGCCATAAATTTCACCTAGTGATAGTGATTATCCCTCACCTTTAACACTGAAATATCCTGAACTGCCATACAACCTACTCAGCTGTTAACATTTTAGATAATTGCTGCACAGAATATTTTTGCAGTTCCTGAACAGGTCTTACAAATTAAGAACTGTGAAACAACTTTAAAACACAGAGTATTCCACAGTAAGTTTAATTCTATTCTTTCTTTTTGAATTATAGAAATTCTAAAAGCTCAGAGGTTAAAATTATGCATCTCCTCACATACAGTCAAAAGATAGATGCAAATACAGGCTGTCTTGTCTCAGACGAGACAACAGATTGTTTCCACAGATTTATGTGCAACTGTCATACATGCTTATAATGACAGGTATCCTCTACCCTTTTCTTCTACACTTGAATTTCCAAATATTACTTTCATTTTTATGATTACAGAAGCTTGAAGTAGTTACAAATTCACTGTGAGGGAGAATGTGTCTCTAAGTCAGCTTTCATGCAGCTGAAGCACCTTCTAAACAACACTGGATAAAACATCAGGAAGATAAACACAGTTTTTCTTTTAAAAATTGCAAGGTTGTGCTCACCGAAACAGCTCGAAGGATGGGGGCAATTTTGGAGTGGGGGTTTTTGCCTTCCCAGATAACTCTTAGGCAAGAGGTATTTTATATAAATACAATGAATAATTTTTTAGCTCATGATCGAAAACGATTACAATGACGCTTCAACAAAACAACTTTACATGCCAAGAAGAGCGGCGTGTTAAACCACAGAGTCTGTAATGATTTTAAAAGGTCCGCAGGGCAGACCTCCTACATTTTATATAAACCAGGACAGCGGAGAATCGCCGTCAGAGGGCATCACTCATGAATGATTTGCCAAATACGCTGCCGTGAAGTAGCAAGTTATTTTGTAACTCCCTCACGGGCTTCTCCTAAAAGTACATGAGGTGCTAAATACATTCAAGTAGCTGACCTATGGTGTTTTGTTGTTGTTGTTGTGCTTTTTTTTCTTTTTTAAATTTATCATCGCCGGCTTGCAGCTGGGTTTCAAACTGAGTGATTCAGCGCGGTCCCCGGGAAACTCGACCCTCACGCTGCTGCCTGTCACGGCGCGCTGAAAATCGCGGCAGGATCAACCGGGACAGGTCCCGCCCGCTCGGGCCCCGGTGCCGCCCGGCTGCGGGAGGGAGGCGGGATGCACCCGTCCCGCCCGGGGAGCCGCGGCAGCTGCCCCCTCGTCCCGGCGAGCTCCGCCGGCAGCCCGAGCCCGAGCCCGAGCCCGAGCCCGCGCCGCCCCGCTCGCCGTCCCTCCCGCAGGCGCCTCCCTCCCGCCCTCAGGGCAGCGCCGCCGGCGGGACCCCCCCCCCCCCCCCCCCCCACCCTCCCCACCCCCGCCCCGCCGCGGGAGTTGGCACCGGGACGGGCTCAGGGGGAGCGGTACTTGCCCAGGTGGGGACGAGGAGGCTGCCGGGCCGCTCGAGCGGTGCTGGAGGAGGCTGCTTCCCCGCCACGCTCATCTCCTCCCATGCAGCTGGCGTAGTCCTCTCAGTCGGGCGGCTCGGCGGGACGCGGCGCCTCCGGCACCGACTCCCAAGCGCCCGCCCCTCCCCTCAGCGGCGGCGTCCCGGCTCCGCGGGGCAGGCTGGCTCCGCGGGGCAGGCTGGCTCCGCGCTGCCCTCCGCCGCCCGCGGCCGGGCGGGGCGGGATGCCACGGGGGTGTTCGCCGAGGGCTCGGAGCCGGGCGGGAAGAGGAAGGCAGCGGCGTGGTGCTGGCTATTTAACTTGGCTCTTCGCCGGGGGAAGGTGCCGCCGCTCCCGCTCCCCTCCCCTCCGCGGCCGCATCCCGACAGCCGAGCTCTGGGTGCTCCTGCGAGCGCTGCCGCGCTCCTCCCCGACACCGCACGGCTCCGCTCGGCCCGCCCGCGCCGCCCCGCGGGGCAAAGGCGGGCGGGGGCTCCGGCCTCCCGCGCTCCGCTGGGGCAGGGGCGCTGCTGCTGGGGAAGGTGACCGACGTGGCGGGGCTGTGGGGGTGAGGGTGCTGCCGCTCCGAGCGCAGCCCCTCTCGCCTTGTCCGCGCCCGTAGCGGGCGGTTGTGCCTCGTGTTGGGTCACAAGCGGCAGCCGCGCATAGCCCTCGCTCGCTGATGTCTGAATCAAAAGCAAGAGGAGTTTGACATCCCTCGAGTATTCTTGGTACCCTTGGCATTGTGTAACACCTGGCCAGGAAAAGCCCCAGTCCTAAACATTGTCATGAGATTTTTTTTTTTTTCCCCCATGCATCTTTAGCTTTCATCCAATTCCTGACCATGGTCCGTGGCCCAGGCTATCAGTTTTGGGGGAGCTTCTTGAAGTCCAGTGGTAGCAATGTTGAAGCTGATCCTAAGGCAAAGAAGTTCATCCTGGTGCTTAGCATACTACTTTATTTGGAGACATATATTTCGACTCTTGAGGAGAGAGAAGGGAAAGCTTTTACTTTTTCCTATCAGTTGATTTAAAAATATGTGCTTCATGCACGTACTCTTCTGTTTTCTTACCTAAATGTAATTTGAAAAGGCATCTCTGTTCCCTTTTGTTACCTCTACCTTTGTCATGCACAAATAGATAAAGTATGACTGGACTATTGGCTAGACTTTTTATAAAGTTACTTTTAAAGTTGGGTTTTTTCCCCTATAAAGCGCATGAGTAAAGCCGGAAAGAAACATGCATCATCTTTCTCTTGGAGGTAAATCCATAAAAATATTGGTTGTCACTGCTATATTTTACCCTAGAATAAATTCTTCTCTTCCCAGGTTTTCCTGGTCAAAAAATACCTGACATCATCCCTGTTTGCTGTTTGATCTTCCAGAGCCCTGGAGAAGATGGGGAGGGGTGGACAAGAGGGCAGTTTCATTTGTTCTCCGGTGGTTCACGGGGCCCTCCACCTGTGCCTGAGTTGTTTTCTTTACCATGCACAGAGGTGTGGAGTTCAACCCATTCTGCTAAAGAGCTGGCGTTCGCACTCAAGCCAATCTGCCCCAATCCATCCTGTGCATGAAAAAGCATTTATCTCACTCCATGCCTGTAGAAAAGTGCATGACAACACACCAGTGTGAAGTGTTGGAAGAGATGAGACTGGGCCACTGCCCCACATGACCATCCAGACTTAGGTGCATGCAGACACTGTGAGAGGTACGAGTCTGCTTCAGGCTAAAGACAGCCAAAGAAAGCAAAGCAGCACAGATGAGCTGCGCTCGCTTTGGAGGTGGGCTGCTCCAGGCTCCGTGGGAGTTGCCAGGAACCAGCAAATAACAGCAGCAGTCCTGGAGGGTATTTGCTAGTATTGGTAATAGTTTTCCTGTGACTACAAACTTGTTACCTCATCCAGCATTGTTTCTCATGGTTCTTCTTCATAAATATGGCATATAAGTGGGGATTAAAAAGTGGATGTACAAGTTAGTGTAAATATAATATAAATGACAGCTGTATGATAATGTACAGAGAATATATATGGGAAATTACTGGCAGAGATAAGTAAAATAGAAAGAATTTACTTTCTAGAATGTTTCTCTTTACCTACAAGCTGTGCTTTTTAAACTTAAAAATCTTTGTCAGTAGATATAATTAAGCCTTGTACACAATATATGACTTCCTGAGTGGCATATCTTAACACTGACAATTATATAAATGATTTCTGGAATTCATCAGAAACTGGATAGACTCAGACAGCCAAGGAACTATTTATGTTAATTTATTTTTGGAATTAGAAATGCCCTTCAGTGAATTATATTTTCCTATGGTTTTGCTGTACTGAATGTAAGTGGGTACATATAATTTGGGGAAGGATTAGGAAAAACTAAATATTTTTACTTCAGCTAAGCAAATTTGTGATAGCCTCATCTATGCTTTATTTCAAGGAGTGATTTGGTTTAATAGCTTAAGAAACCCATGAGTTTCTTTAGGAGTTGATGTCTTGTCCACCCAGTTTGTTACTAGCTGAAAGCATATATGCATTTTTCCCTTTCTTCTTTTTGTACTTTTTCAGTTTTACTGCATCTTTGATCCTGCAAAATCTTTTGCTTTTGCCATTTATGAAATAAAGTAAATGGAAGCTAGCTGTCACATAGCTATTTTAGTGATGAGAGTTTTTGTTTTTCTGGATTACATTAAATCCTATAATTTGAAATAAGGCAATTATTTGAAAATTTCATTAAAATCTACAAAATATCAAGAAAGTAATGATGCAAAAAGATGGCAGTTTCAGACAATGCAGAATGCTTTCAATAAGATGACTTTAAGCCAAACTCATTATTTTGGGGTGTCACGTTAGATAATTGCCAAGTTTCGCTCAGATCTGACTTGGCTCACAACAGGAAAATTGAAAATTGTGCAAAAGATTTGCATAAAATCAGCATGCATGAAAGCAGATGCAAATTGCTGAATCTGGAAGGTATCGTATTACAGACCTGGCTTTGTTTCCTCTATTTTCATAGAGATGCTTTGCATTAGTACATATGAGTGCACACACACACACACACACACGATACATGGCTCAGAATAGAAACAGAAGACTATTAGCACTAAAACAAAAAATAATTTATTTTACTAAGATAGCAAGGATAAGGATTTTTTCCAAAGAGGTGAATGAAAGAGTATAATTTGGTTTTCCAGGAAATGTAGGTATGCAGACATTAAAACATAGCTCTGTCAATACAAGAACCTTCACAAAACTATTGAAGTGCATTTGTTGTCTTAATACAAACCCCAAAATTTGCAGATGCCATCTTAGTTTTTAGATGTTAATATTTTCTGTATTAATCAGGAAGGAAGCCTTTTGTAAAACTTAATTGCTTTGTGAACTTCATTACACCTAATATTTTACTAACAAAATAAATGCTCCACCATTTAATTTTGTGTTGTGGGAAGAGATCAAAGATATGGGGAAGCAAAGAATACTTTTGGAAGTATTTTGGGTTTGCATAGCCAAGCTTTGGTAGTGGGGGTCTTCAAGTGTGCCTCCTGTGAGCATCTGCCAGAAGCTTCCTCTGTGTCCAGCAGAGCCAATGCCAGGCAGCTCCAGGATGGATGTGCCCCTGGCCAAGGCTGGGCCAGTCAGAAATGGTGGTAACATCTATGAGATAACAGAGTTAAGAAGAAGAAAAAGAAAAGTGATTGTGCAGGTGTAATTGTGGCTGGAGCAGGGCGGGATGAGAACATGAGAGGAACTCTCAGAGGCTCTGCAGACACCAGGGTCAGTGCAGGAGGGGCAGGAGCTGCTCCAGGCACCAGAGCTGAGATTCCCCTGCAGCCCATGGGGCAGCCCATGGTGAGGCAGCTTTGCCCCTGCAGCCCATGGGGATCCACAGGGATGCAGAGATCCACCTGCAGCCCATGGAGGAGACCCACACTGGAGCAGGTGGATGCCTGAGAGGAGGCTGTGACCCTGTGGGAGGCCCGTGCTGGAGCAGGGTCCTGGCAGGGACCTGCAGACCTGTGGAGAGAGGCGAAATAATGGGTAATAAACTGACCATAACCCCCATTCCTATATCCCTGCACTGCTGGGGGGAGGAGATAGAGCTGGGAAGAAGGGAGGGGTCGGAGGAAGGTGTTTCTAAGGTCTTATTTTACTTCACATTATCATGCTCTGATTTTGTTAGCAATAAATTTAGTATGTCTAATAGGCTAGTTTTGCCTGTTACAGTATTTGATGAGTGATCTCTCCCTGTCCTTATCTCAAACTATGAACTCTTTGTTGTATTATCTCTCCCCTGTCCGGCTGCAAAGGGGAATGAGAGATCAGCTTTTGGTGGATGTCTGGAAGTCAGCCAGAGTCAATCAACTAGAAAAAACTAGAAAAAATAAGTTTTTGACTTGGAAATTATAGGCAAGGCATTATAAAAATGACAAATGTCCCAAGGAAACTGCTGCCTATCATGATGAGGATGCTGCCATGTAGCCACCTGTATTTTCCAATTTAGGAGGAGTAAGGAAGGCACTAGTATGCTGACTATCAGCCTTAGATACCTATCTCAATCTGCTCTCCATTTGCCACTTTTATTGTGTCATCAGGAATAAGGGGTAAATTACAGGAAATAACAACTGGACAGACTATCAGAGGACAGTAATGTTTGAGTCTTCTTAAAATACACACTGGTAAATCACTAAAATTTCACAGATATGTTCTTTTTCTTCAAAAGACCAACATTCCCTTGCTCTCCCAAACTATAATGTGCATCAAATACCCTATAAGTTGCCCTGGAAACTTCTTCAATTCATTCAGTAGGGTAAAAAACTGTAACTGTAAATATGACAGTAGCAAACTGGAAAGAGACAGTAAAATTGTCTAACATTAAAGGAAAGGAAGAGACTGCTATATGTCAAAGAAACAAACAAAAACTTTCCTTAAACAACTGTTCATTGAGATAGGGTGTTAGAAATAAGCCTCTCATCCTTTGGGGCAGGTGGCTTGAGCAGCATGGGGGACACACTGTTGAAAAGTTTGCTGAACTGTCTTTCCCCACCCCTTATGAGGCATAGGTACA